AGTACCCAGAAAGTTTCTATGCATGGACAGGGAGAACATGCAAACACCATGCAGAAAGACTGGACGATGACCCCTAAGATAGCTAGAGTTTAGCTAAACATCAAAACTTTCCTTTACATCAAAGTACATAGTTTATCCCGAGGGATCTCTTCTCAGGAAAAGACGCGGGGAGAGAAAGCTTCAAGGTGTAAACACAGAGCTTTCCATAAAACTGGGGAAAACAAATATGAGCCGATTCATCTCCCCTAAAAAAGGAGATTGAAAAAGCCCTGGAGTCACTCCCAATGAACGATGGAACTTGGTTTTAATAGCTTGCAATGGATTCAAAGATGCTGGAAACAAAATCTGCTCCATTTTGAATTGTCAATAAAAAAAATACATCAAAAGCAACACTTTTGAACTTTTGGTTGAAAGCAGAGGATCAGTATAAAGCTGAAGTTTACATCAAGCCAAGTGCACAACAGCGCAAAGATCTGGAGGCTGTGTTCTCTGATATGCATGTTTTTCCTCCTCAATAAATGTGCTACAAATGTGCAAAGCATTAAACTGTCCTCATAAGTGGACATAATGCAATCAAATGTATGCTGGCAGGAGCTTTGCACCCTGCAAAACGATCCAACTCAAAGGGAAGGAAGGTTCTTTCAAAAATCTCAGCTGCAGAGAAAGTGTTTCAGACAGGCTGTGTGCACTATGGCAGGTAATACATGCAGTTTTGATTGTGAAGGTAAGATGGACACATTGTTCATTCATTAGATGAAGCAGCATGGTAAAAATGCAGACAAAAATATATTAAACATGTTTCATGGAGCACCAACATAGAGACCAGAAGGAAAACAGAGAAGGCAGATTCCCAGGGTCGTTAATAGAAAATGCATAATGTCAGATCAAGTTAATATTAGTGAGATTTTTAGGAGAGTGATGCACACAGAGTTAAAATGGAGAATAAAAAGAATAAAGAAATTACAAATAGACGATTAAAAACAAAATTTAAGAATGAAGGGGGGAAAAAAATGAATACAGTCTAATGCAAAAATGCATTTTCTGCTTGAGGGGGAAAAGTGTGTAAAGGAAAATAGATTCACCAAACTTACTGCTTTTTTGTTTTCCTTTTTTTCTTTTAGTGTTGCCTTATTCAGTAGAGAGTGGCAAGTAGCCTACAGAACAGAGATGAGCACAATCATGGTCACAGCACCAGATACAAACAGAAACTCAACAAAACCATAACAGAAGTTCAGAGCACCCATTCAGGCTCAAAAGTCTTTAAATATGCATAAAAACACTCCTCACTCAGTTGGACGGCCTAATAATATGGGCACTGCTATAAACAGATTTCCCTGATTAATTTAGAGCAAAATTAACTTAGCATGGAGTTTAATAACAAGTAATAATCAAGCCCTAGATGTTAGAAAGACCTGAACTAGAAAGAAAACAGACTTGTTTTTAGAGTTAGTAGCATGTAGCACTCAGTGGCGGCTGGTGAAAAATATTTTTGGTGGGGCTGATATAGCCTAGTGTATGTCTCCAACTAATCCGGAATAAGAATTCAAATAAACAATTGGACAATACATACAATTTAACAGTAATTATTTAATTTACTATATAA